CCAGAGCCCTTCTCCGCACTCCCATCTACCCTATCCCCTCTCCCCTCTCCCCTCTCCCACGTAGTTCTCTCCCTCCGTCCACCTCCTTTGACTATTTTGTTTCCCTTTCTAAGTGTGAGTCAAGCATCCTTACTTGAGAAAATAATTGAAAAGATGGTACAAAATATACACTGTACAGTTTGTATAATGAAAGACATCTACAAGCGAACATGCTGACAGTGTTTGTGGCTGGGCATGGCTCATTAAGCTTTTTTTTTTCCTCGAGACAGGGAGAGACAGAGTTTCTCTGTGTAGCCCTGGCTGTCCTGGAACTCACTCTGTAGACCAGACTGGCCTCAAACTCAGAAATCCACCTGCCTCTGCCTCCCATGTGCTGGGATTAAAGGAATGTACCACCACTGCCCAGCTTGCTCATTAACTTTTAAGACACAGTGTAGTAATTTAATTTCAGTGTAGTAATTAAAGATGAATACAAAGACTAGTAATGCAGTAAATGCTTTATTATGAAACGTTACATATAATGCAGTTATTTCTTGGCTCCCATTACAATGAAAACTTTGTACCACCTGAGTAAACACGGGCAAGAGCAGATAGGAAGGTGGAAGTCTGAAGCAGTTTATGATTAGTGCTGGCATGGGGTTTGTACTTGTTTTACCTTTATCAGTTTTATGAAAGAATTTTGCTAAAATCGAAGCTTCTTAAAAAATAAACTGTCTGTAAACTTTCTTCCAGTTTCTTCAAATTACATTTGTTTTGTAATTACAAGAGACTTTCAAAACCATATAATCCTCTCTGTTGCCCCAATCCTTAATATCGAAGTGGTTTCCTAAATATAAGAAATCGGATAAATCAGAAGCAAAGAACATGCATGTATCACAAGTGACAGGTCTTCCCAAGGGTAAAACTGTTGTTCCTGATAAGGTCTTGTTGGGTTTATTAAAACTGTTATATAATGTATCTTGCACTATAGCAAGACTCTTTGGGTTTTGCTTTTGTTCTTAGCTAAAGCCTCAAGTCAACCATTTTCCTCCTCCAGTATGCATCCAGTAAGTGAAAGTCAGTTGAAGAAGAAACATTTGGTGTACTATTTCATTGGGGATTTTCCATTTTCTGCCCTATCTCTTGATCTTTCTTTCAGACTGAAGCAGTTTCAGTAGTGATTGGTGCTTGTGGGCTTTTGCATTGTTTTGTAGGTTCCTATTTTCTGAGTTTGGAAGCCACTCACAAAGGTAACCTTGACTGTGGGGAATTTCCTACTCAGTCAAACAATTCCCAAGAAGGAACAAGGTTGTTATAGGTACTCGAGGCGTTCCTGCTGCTTGGCAGGAACATGGACTCAGTGTTAACATGTATCACAACATGTTTTCCAGGGTGGATCACTTGTACACCTTCTTTGTCCAGTGGTCTCCGGATGTCTATGGGAAAGATGCCAAGGAGCAAGGCTTTGTGGTGGTGGAGAAGGAAGAGCTGAACATGATCGACAATTTCTTCAGTGAGCCGACCACCAAGAGCTGGGAGGTAAACACCTAGACAAGAGAAGAGGCTGTCCAGGACCCTGAAACGCCAAAGCAGATGAAATGGTCTTTCATTCAGATTTCCAAAAACTATTAATAGCTGACACCGTTCTTTAATTTTTTCTAATGTATTTAAGATACATTTTGAATCCTTGTCTCCTGTACCGTATAAGAATGGATGGCTAACTTGATTTGACTGGCAGTTACAGCTTGCTGCTCCTGAGTTCCCATTATCAAATTAGACCATCACATATCAAGTACCTCTTTGGTTGGGGGGCCCTAGTAGTATGAAGATGGGTAAAACCTATCTCTGTGTCTAATAAGCTTAGAGGACTGAGACAGGAGGTGAGGCGCAGAGAGGAATATATCTGTCACACCTTCCTGCCTCTAAGCCTGTTTTTTATTTTCATGGATGTATCTGGAATCTGGTCCTTTGAATCCATCTTACTCTGTTCCTATCTTGAATCCCTTGAGGCAGTTTTATCCTCCTGTCTTAGAAAGATGGTGAAGTCATTCAGAGACATCCCTCTACCAGTTATCAGGGTAAGTCGCTTAGGGGTCCTTCCATCCTTTATTCCCATCTAGACCATTGTATTCCTGGAGAGTATACTTGCTCTGATCCTAGCAGACAGGCATTGCCACAGAAAACCTGACAACCAAAGCCAATCATGGTGGCACATACCTGTGGTCCTGCTATTCCATGGGCAAGAATGGAAGGATCTTTTGAATCCAAGAGTTTGAGGTCAACCTAAGCAACATAGGCTAGGCCTCACCTCGAAGGATGAAGCAAAGCAAATAGCAAGCAGATTGGTACCAAGATAGGTGGGTGGTTTCTGAATCCGCCTGGCTCCTCACTCATAACTAGAAATCTTTCCTGGTTGGAACCTCTCACAGGTCGTCGTCTTAAGCTCCTTAGCCTACTTCAGCATCCATGCATCCTAGCGTTGGACCTCCCTCCACTGTACAAAGAAGAAGGAATTGCACAAATTTACTTTCTGATCCCCCTTTCCTGCAGTTTAAATGATCAATTATTACATTCTTAGTTTCTGGCTCAGAGAAAAGAGGCTCTATGCCTCTCTAAGGCTGCCTTCTATCTTATCAGTCATAACTCTCTTGTCTTGAAATGCTTTCTCCTTCCTTCATGGTTCCTTATCTTTCAGGAGGATATGATATTTTGTTGCTTTTTTTAAGGGAAAAAAAAGAAGAAACATCTTATCTCCTTTATTCGTGTGTGTGTGTGTGTGTGTGTGTGTGTGTGTGTGTGTGTGTGTGTGTTTGTATTATTCTACAGTCAGCACCCACCTTCTCCCCCCCCACTTTGGGGGTCTTTCCTGTAGGGTCTGGGAATCAGACTCCTCATGCCCACAAGGCAAGCCGTGTCCTTACTGAGCTATCCCCAGCTTCTTCCCTTCGTCTTCCCTTCTCCTGCTGCTCTCCTCTCTGTTGCCACCTAACTCTTGGATAAAAATTGCATCGTGTCATTGTATCCAGCTTCTCAATTGCCCTTTGAACCCTGTTCCCTTCAGTGTGCGTTGCACCAAAGCCCACAGATACCCCATACTTACCACCTATTTTTACTTGACTATTCGTGTTCCTCTTTCCTACAAGATGCTATGATAGAGCTCACAGATGCCTCAGCAGACTCTATCTAAGAGACATGAGGATAGCCCATCCTGGCTTCACTTCTGGTAAATATTAACCAAGGGCATGCTCTATCAGGAAAAGTTAATTTTCTTAGTGGGGCTGTGGTCTTTCATCCAATACAGAACTCTAGAAAGAAAATTTAGACCCGTGATGGGGACTTAACCCTTTCTTGACTATACCTGAATATCCTGAGCCAAAGGCACCATCTTGTTGAAAGCATACTCTCTCCTTTCTCCATTCATCTGGGATTCAGATCTCATCTCTTGTCAGCTGTAGGGGGAGAAGAGGCCGCACAGCACCTATACCCAAAGACAAGGGGGGCATAGGAGGCATGAGGAGTGAGATAGGTCCACTCAACGGTCTAGAGGAAGAGAGATGGGCAATTAGCCACAAAGCCACTGAGGAAAGTGAAAGAGTGAAAACTCTCTGGAAAGTTGTATCTCTACCGTTATTGAAGGAGGAGAGGAAAGACTTCTTTAGGAACTCTTTGGCCATACCAAAGCTGATGATCTGTGGAAAGAAAGGGCAGCCTGAGTAAGTTAATAGACTGGTCAGTTCCTTTATGTCTTTCTGTCTGTAAGGGAGACAGTGTCCAACTAAGGGGAGGGAAGAAGGCTCCATGTTCCCTCATTTGAAACAAGTAATGCTCAGAAGCATTGTGATAGGCACCCCTGTCCCTCAGCTTCATGCTGTGAAGGAGAATTGTCAACTCCCATAGGCGTTGATGGGTTTTAATCTTCAGGATATCCAGAATAACTCATTATCCTCTGACACTTTTGTTTCTGCTCATTGTTTTCTATCATATAGGCATCCAAGCCACAAACTCAGGTGTGATACCAGATCCTGTTTGCTTTATCTTGACTAGGCTGCTCATCTCTGATCCCATTGACTCTGGTCCTAAATGTTGTAGGGCCTTGCACCCCTCTCCCTTTCCAGACCCTCCTTATCCCACCAGAGTTTCTGCACCTCACTTGGACCCCAGTCTCAGCCTGCTCCACCTACCAGCCCATCCTCACCTGTCCTCAAGACCATCAAACACACCTTTCATAAATTTCTTTGGACTTTATTTTCTATTTTGTTTGGGCACATAGGGTTCTCTTTTTCACTCCACACAAAGATTCCATTCTATGTAGTTTTCTATGTAGACTTTTCCTACCTAACATAATCTTAGAATTGTCTTAAGTGTTTGAAACCTTACTTTTTAGTGCTTGCTTTTGTTTGTTGATTGTTTGTTTGCTTGTTTTAATAGGTCTACACTCAGTCTATAAGTTAGTCTACCCTGAAACTCAAGGTCTTCCTGTACAGCCTCCTACGGACTTTAATTACAGATGTAAATCATGCATCCTCCAACTAGTTGCTAGTATTTTTATAGCTGTTTAATTGATTTAACAGTTTCCCACTTGAGTTATTGTATTGTTTCAATCATTTCACAAGAATGAGGTCTTCTACCTTAATTATTTAGAGAATTTCCTGGATGTGGGATTATGAAGGACAAGGACAGTAGATTTCTAAGACTCCTGAGTTTTATGTGTAAGCAATTGAACTTGCCACCAGCATGCGGGATTTCCCACTGTGCCTTGCCAGCAAAAAGGATTGCCAATATTACACCTTTTTCCCTCTCCTAAAAAAGGCTTGCAAAATTGAAAAGTGCGTAGTGTTTTCCTATAACTTAATTTTCATTTCCTTGACTGTTGCTGAGCCAAAAAATGAACATGTTCATACACAAGTTAACCACCTGTGAGTTGCTTGCTGCTTCTCATTTATTCTCAACCCAGTTTCCTAGAGCCGTGGTTCTCAACCTTCCTAATGCTGCAACCCTTTAATACAGTTCCTCATGGTATCGTGACCCCAACCATTGCTAATCCATAATCTTGCTATTGTTATGAATAGAAATGTAAATATCTGGTATGTGGAGTATCTGATATACAACTCCCAGAGGGGTTGCAACCCACAGGATGAGAAGTACTGCCCTAAAGGGACATTAGCAGTTCTCCACTCCACTGAGTTCTTGTGATGAAAGAGACTTTTTTTTCTGTGTTTGACAGATCTTTCTTCATTTATAGTTTGTCTTTTGATGTTGGTGGTGGCTTTTATGTTTGTTTTTATGTTGTTGTTTTTTAAGTCTATAGGTAGTCCTATAATCCATAGTTGATTTTTTTAAATATAAATGATAGGTATTATTTTTAGTAAAAAAAATTTTCTATCACTGTTGAGTGATTTTTGAGATTTTCTTCATCTTACAAGGTCTTATGTATGTATTGTATGTGTTGTCTATTTAACTTACCATTGAAATACGTAAGTGTATTTATGCACTCCCAGGCTTAAAGCTGTGAGTACCATGCCCTCATCCTCACAGCCCCATGGCCTATGGTGATTGCTCACCACCTTGCCCATCACTGGATTTTGGGGGAGGGAGGACATTGTCTCTCTCCACGTATATGTGTGTAAGTGTGTGTGTGAGGGGTGCTGTATGATACATGCTAACAAGCATGTGCTAGTGTGCATGCCCCTGTGCATGCTTGAGAAGGTCAGAGGAGGATGTCTGGTTATTGTTCTACTCTGTCACTCTCTACCTGATTCCTGTGAGACAGCTTCTCTTACTGAACACTCAACAAGGCTGGCGGCTGGGAAGTCCCAGCAATCCTCCTGTTTCCATGCTCCACAGTACTGAGATTACAAGCCTGCCAGTGCCTGCGCCTGGCCTTTTACAGATGCTGGCATCAAAACGCAGCTCTACATGTTTTCATAGAGGTACTCTTTGACACTGAGCTCCAGCCCTCTGGAGTTTTAAAAAGTCGAATCCTAGAACCTTACCTCAGGATACTTTGGTTTAGTAAGTCTATAGGAAGGATGTTAGAATCTATATTTTTCAAAGATCCAAAATGAATCTGAAAAACAGCTAGGTTTTAGAACTATGAGACAAGACCCATTCAAGACACTGAAGTTTTTCACGCTTTCAAATCTTACTCTCTTCTCTCAGCTCTTCTAGGGCTCTTTGTTCTTCAGCCATCAGGAACCTAGAGTACCCATCTCTGCCCGTTGCTGCAAGTCTGCACTGGGCATATCTCCCCACCCTTCTCACAGATGGACCCACCCACTCCCTTGTGAATAAGCCTTCCCGGCACAGCAGGTGTCCCAACCCTTCTTTGAGCCTTGAGCACATGTACCTCCTTTATTGCGTGACACGACGTTTGTTTGGCTATAATTTCATCTTCTGTCACTCATCCATAGGAAACAGTGGACTGTGTCCCTGTGCCTGGCAACACACCTGGCATGTCCCAGAATACAGGAAGTGCTTAATGAATGTTGGCGATCTCCAGCATCCAGGAAGCACTTAATTAATTTGTTCTATCATGAAATGCCAGGCACTGAAAAAGCGGTGCTCCTCCCAGGAACAGAATTCAAATGATTTTGCCCCCAGTTGTTAGGTGTGTACATGGAGAGTCAGTCCTGGCTGATGTGTTGTGTTCACTCATCTGCCATAATATAACTTAGAACTTACCCCAGGACCCTGAGCCTTCAGCAGCCCCTGGGACTGAAAGCCCCTGGCGGTGTGTAAGAGTAACAGAAAAACGGGTGAAAATTGATCTCTTGTAGATCTGTATTTCTTTCTAAACCTGTGTCATCTGATCTCAGGATCAAAGAGAACCCCGTAAAGGACCTTATCAGTCACTAAGATGCATCCCATAATGCGAAACGATAAACTGTACTTTGCCACCTATTTTGTCAAACTGCACATAAGATGGCATTGTTCACTGCCTCCTATAAATCAGAAGTGTTCTCACTCTTTCAAGTTACTTATGCTCGAAGAAAAGTAACATAGAAACTGTTGTTGCTGTGCCGAGCCTGCCTCCCACCCCTGGCAAAGGCTCCTTTTGTTCATAAGATTCAAACTGAGGCTGGAAACCAACCCCCAACAGTTTAAAATGGAGGTTGAACCTTTAGAAAAGTAGGTGAAAGAAAACCCTGAGGAGACAAGGAAAGGACAGCTCGGTTACCTACCCTGAGGGCATATGGAGGAAAAGTTCAGGAGAAAAGAGAAAAAAAAAAAAAAACCCATAACACCAGGACGGGACAATGGGGTTTTATTGCACGGCTGGGTTTCAAAGGTGAAAGTGTCATTTTACAGACTCCCGCTCTGCCTGACAGGAAGTGTGCCTGCTCTAAATCCTAATTTGGGTGTGTTCCTGTAGAAACGTTGAAACCCCTCCTGAGGGAAACAGAAACTCAATCTTGCAGGAAGCTAGAAACTGAAAAAAAAAAAAAAACAGTGTAGGGTCAGCCTGGCAGCCAGTGGCTGGTGTGCAGGCAGCCAGATAAAGACCGGTTCCTCTCTGTGGCCACAGTCTTCTCTCCCAGCACCATGCGAGGCAGAAGACTGCCCCTGGACATTCAGATTTTCTATTGTGCCAGACCTGACCAGGAGCCTTTTGTGAAGGTAGGTGGGCGTGCATCCCGAGCCAGGAAACCAAGGTGCCTGCTAGGGAGCCGGCTGTTCTGTCACTGGCGTGCATTTGTAATTCCTTCTAGTTAGAAACTATTGAGCACATTCTTTTATTTGCTGTGGAGGTTTTTGCTCGCTCTTTCTGAAATCTGAAGTCCATACTTGACTTGTCGTATTCCCTGGCCTCAGTGTGAACTATATTTTGTAGACTTTGAAACTAGAACCAAAACAAAGTGCTTTGTTTAGTATGTTTAAAATGTTAGCTTTGTGGTTCTTTGAAAGTGTTTCTGTAACTTCTCCATCAGAAGATAGGAAAAATCCATAAGTGTACTTCCCTACCCAAAATTCAGCTCAGAAGATGAATAATTTGTACATGTCATTGTATGTTTTGGAAGCCAAACCATGTTTTACCTGACAACTCTCACTAGATCTAAGTTACATGCCTTTTCTCTGTAATACAGCTGTCGCTGCTACTATACCTGGACATTTTAGAGAGCTAATTGCCACTCACATGTTTCATGGAGTGATTTGCTGAGAAGTTAAGAGGGACAAAAATGTTTTTAAGATGAGAATGTTAGTAGTTCATAAACCCAACTGTATTTAAATAATAGATGTGTGTAATACAATGGTTATCAATCTAGATGGGAAATTTTGGATCATTGTGAATTGTGGAAAGCAGCCTGGTTGTAAGTTAGAGTAAAGCTCTCTGTGTTTGCTTCTGGTGGCTGTTACTGTCATCATTTCTGCTCATCTTGGTTGCTGTGTATACAACCAGGAAGCTCAATTGAAGCCTATCCTTATCTCCCCAAACTCTCTATTTATAGACTTTCTGAAGGACCTCTGATGACTTCCTTTACAATTTAAATTGGACTCACAGGCTAGAGTTGCCTGGCTTAATTGTTTTCAAGGATATAAACCTTGTGGCGCTACTCAGTTCAGAGCAGGAAGAGCAAAACTGGAAAGCGTGTGACTTTAAATCATGCATACTAAATGCTCAGCTGTCGTGGTTTAAATTCTGCATTTGTTCTGGGTTTGAAAATTCTTCATTTCCCCCAAAGTCCTTTTCTGTTTATCTTCTGCTACCCAGCACTCCACCTTTTAGTCAGCTGTGTGCTCCAGGGTTGTTTGGGGGAAAGTGCATCTCATCTAGGCTTCCACATTAGCTGTTTCTGTCCTTCCTTCAGATTATCACAGTTGAGGAGGCAAAACGCAGGAAGAGCACTTGCAGCTACTATGAGGAGGAGGAAGAAGAGGAAGAGGGACTGCCCATCCTGCAGCCGCACAGTGCGCTCCTGGAAAACATGCACATTGAACAGGTGGGACTGAACACTGGGCTTTGGGGCCTTACAGACTGCCCCCTGCCCCTGGCCCGAGTGAAGCAGTTAGATGAGGAAGCAGAGGCCCAGAGCCTAACCATAACAAGCATCGCTTCCCCACCTCTGAAACGTTACAGCAGCCTTCTTCATGGCCTTCCTGGGAGCTGACAAGACCTAGAAAAGAGAAGGCCATTTCTTAACATAAAAAAATGGAAATGATCTCCCGTAGTCCTGATGTACCTAAAAAGGATCCAATAAATTAAATATATATATATTATTTAATATTTATATTACAAAAATATATAATTAATCTGTGTGTACTTTGCATTTTCTGAAAAGTTTGCTACTTGAATTTTGTGAAATATTGTGTTTAGTAAGGTGTATGTGGAATCGCATACGATTTTTCACCAGTTAGATTAGGAACATGAATTTCCCAAAACCTTAAAGAATGCAACCAGGTGGGCCCAGGGACTTGGCCAGACAGCTATAGAGGTGGGCTTGATGCTGCCCCTGACGCTGACTTCTGGCACTCGAATACATTTCATTCCATAACTGCCTTGATAATGTTTCTTGGAGAGACTCTTATTAGTATTTATGGCACCTAGCTTAAGCTAAATACAGTTGACAGATACGGGAACAAGGTGGACAAAGTCCTTATGAACTCACGTGCAAAACACAGGTGTTTCCTTGGTTAATAGGACACCTTAGTCAGTAGGAGCTTTAGACCTATGAAAACTTAGAACAACTGGAAAAACATAAAATGACAAAAAGCCAGGTTGAATTATAAAGGAAAAAATATGTCTAGTTACTATCCCTTTGGCTGGCTTGGTTTGTTTGAGTCTTCAGATATACAGTCTTGTATTACTAAGGACACTTTTCTCTGGGATGCACCACATAGTCATCTAGTGACGTTGTAGCTGTGTTGGTTTGTCTAACAAACTTCTGTGACACTCGGAGTGACTATCTTATCAGTGACACTGGAAGCCGACAGTCAGGCTCTGAGTGAGCAAGGTATCTCCTGGCCAAGGGAAACAATCTCCAGATTCCCTTTTTCGTTCTCAGCCAGTGGTAACAAATATTTGCCAGGGCAAAATAGGTCAAGATGTGAGTGCACGGTCCTTTGGTTTGAACCACAGGCAGTTAGTTAATGCACTGCTTCATGACTAATAAGTGGTTAAGATGTCTCTTTGTATTTCCTTCCCTTGGCAGCTGGCCCGACGCCTTCCCGCCAGGGTCCAAGGCTATCCATGGAGACTGGCCTACAGCACATTAGAGCATGGAACAAGCTTGAAGACTCTCTACAGGAAGTCAGCCTCTCTAGATAGTCCCGTTCTTTTGGTCATCAAAGACATGGATAACCAGGTGAGGCCTGTTCCTCTCACAGAGAGCATGCATCTTGTTTTTAGAGAGAGAGGTTTTCAGCACAGCTCGGGCTATATATCCTAAGGTGCTTTTGAACTCCTGATCTTTCTACATCCACCTTCTGAGTGCTAGAATTACTAATGATTGTCACCATAAATGGTTATATAGGGCCAGGGATCAAACCCAGGGCCACATGCATGCCGGACAAACTGCCAACTGAACTGTGTCCCCACCTGAAAAGGTGTCTCAGTGGTAAATTTTTAAGAGTACCCAACTGTAGAGAGACTGCTATATCGACTCCGACTCAGGCTCAAAGGATTTGGCCATTCTTGTCTTATGTACTTCTCTTCTTGTTTTTGTTTGCTGGTATATTTTGAAATCATAATATAAAGAAAATGGAGCACTTGTATGTTGCGAAATCTTCTCCTCATGCTGACCAGGAAGTAAAAAACAGTAACCTACAGTAGAAGTTAGGGACAGTCGTGTACAGGTGCAAAGACAGTCCCAGTGACATACCAGAGTTTTATCCTAAGGGTCTTCAGTAGTGGCCATTGATGATGCCTACTGAGTGGGGAAGAGTCAACGTCTATTTATTGGGTCTGGGGTTCAGTGATTCAGCAGCCATGGGAAATCCTTTCCTGATGGTACTCTTCCCTGTGTGGTGGCTGCCCTTCCTATGAGCTGTTCGAGCTATTATGTGGTGCCCCATCTGTTCTACACTGTTACCACGTCCTTCAAGTCAGTTTACATTGTGCATGGAATATGTACAGACCGATTTCATTTCCTGTTCAATCAGGCCGTTACATGTTACATTTCAAAGTCATTAATAATTCAGTTAATTTAGTCATGTTATGTCTAATCAACACCCGTTATCTCAGGTTGGATATTTCTCATCCAAGCTTCTTGGGATGAAAGTGTTTTGAAATTTGGATTTGGGAGAGTCATAATATATTTGTGTGTATATATATGGAGATATCATCGAGATAAGATCACAGTTGTTTCACCGTAACACAGCGGTGGAGGGAGGGAGGGAGAGAGAGTTTGTAACTTTGCTCATGAAACAGGTTCTCAGTGCAGATTTTTCTACTTTTGGCATTATGTTGGCACTCAGAAAGTTTGGGACTGAAAAGTGGGATCTGATTGGAGTTGCTCAACTGAGGTTCTTGCTGTCAAGCACAACTCTCTATCCTGCCAACTTACCTCCCTGGATGAGATACATATGTGGGTTACTTCTAAGAGACATACCTACCTACCTACATACATACTTACATACATACATACATACATACATACATACATACATATATATAAAACCATGTTGCCTACATCCAATCCCTACACTTGGAAAGCAGAAGAGATGAATGTCTGTGGGCTCAATGCCAGCCTGGCCAACAAAGTGAGTTCCAAGACTGCCAGGACAACACAGTGAGACCCCTGTCCAAAAAAAAAAGATTATGACCCTGATGAGTTTATGGAAGACGCAGTCTTTATGGCTTTATTGCCATAATAAGAATTCTGGAAAGTAGAAGAGTTACTATTTTAACTATTATGATAACAGGATTGATAATATCGTATTTAATAATGATCCAAGGTGAACAGTGGGAACAATTAAGATGAAAATCAAAATAATACCACAAAGTATTTAAAGTCACATAGAAAGTTATGAAATGTTAGAAACATTGGTGTTATGTCTTGGATAACATTGTGACTACACACACTTCAATTTCATATATATGTATATGTATATACATATACATATACATATATATATATATATATAGTTTCTGTCTGTTTAGCAGTAGTATCAAACTTGTCCACACTGAGAAGGTGTCAGTGACGCACAGTTTTGCTAAGCTTCCAGCCAGCAGTGATGTAACAGAAGCCTGAGGCTGACACTTACATGCTGTCAGGAAGTAGAGCAGAGGTTCTCAGCCTTCCTGGTGCTGTAACTCTTTAATACCATTCCTCATGTTGTGGTCATGCCCAACCATAAAATTACTTTGTTGCTACTTCATAACTGTAATTTAACTACTGTTACGAATCATAATATAAATATCTGATATGCAACCCCATGAGGGTCATGAGCACAGATTGGGAAGCACTGGAGTATACTGCTCTGTGCTCTGTGCAGATGCATATGCTCTTGTGAGTGTTTGGACGTTAGCTCTGCACATTCCAGCCCCTCTAGCCTGAGGAAATAAAGTGACTTTGCTGTTATGGGACTAGGACAGACAGAAACTAATCTTAAACATACAGAAGGAGAAGGAAGAGCTGTAGAGAGCTGTGGGAATCATAAAAGCAACAATCTTTTACAGTCTGGAAATTGTCCTGAAGGCATGTAGCAAATGAAGAAATATTTATTCAAGAAAATCTAATAAATCTCAGTAATAACAATGAAATTCTTTGCACTTGAGACACAATTCCCACCCTTCTGGCAACCCCAGCTCAAACCCATAGTTTTACTTGGGCCTGGAGATGGGAGTCCCCTCTTCTCTCAGCTGCCAGTTTTCTGTCCCTTCTACCAGGCCCAGGACTTCTTTTACCCTCCCAAGTTCATTGTTTCAGAGATGAAAATTCTGACAAGTATGGCCTAGAGGCAGAAGGTCCTTTCCACCACCCAGCCAGTATCCTCGTATCCCAGCCATGGTGGTTGTGAATGCCAGGTGCTTCATTGTTCTCGTTCTAGAACTAGATGTGTGCACATTGTTTGAGACAAGCCAAGGCCAAACAGGTACTCTGATACTAAAGCAAAGTTGTTTTTCTGAGAAAAGCAGGCAGATGCGTAGCTGAAAGTCCAGTTCAGTGACTTGTTCCAGGGGGAGAGGCTGACCATAGGTCATGAAGCCCTGACCCCCTTCCCACAGAGCTGGGCGTGTCTTTTGATGAGAACAGAGATTCAAGGCCAAAGGTGTTCCCAGCAGTGAGTACATTTTATCTATAAACAGTTGGGAAGAGTTGAGTTCACCATGAAAACATGCTTCCCTAACCTGTGTGAGGCCCCGACTTCAGTTGTTAGCACCACAAAAGCAGCTGAGAGGAAAGAGCAGCTAGACACTCACAGGTTTTATGTAACCTTCATTCTGTCGTTTTCAGTCTTCTTTAGTTGCATGGATTCCTTTTTCTCTGTTTTTGCTAAAACAAAACATATTGCATTTTCATTATACACAAATGTTATGTACAAATTGTTTTGTGTTCCTTTCCCCCTAAATAAATATATAGAAAAAAAGAGCATGGATCTTTGTTTATATCGTTCCTGGGCAATAACCCAACAATGGCCCTGGCATTATTCAATCCCTAGTTCTTAAATAGATTTCCGTGATCACTGAAAAAAAGTTTTAACTGAAAAATGTTACTTAGAACCTATTAGAGGGCTTGAGTTGGCATTTCCTATTGGTTTATCAGAAAGGAACTCATTTCCCACCTGTTAAAGGACTCTGTTATTCTCATGTCATATTTTAAAATCATGTTTTTTAAAAAAATAGGTGCCACCCTATTGTATTCCAATTCTTTTATTTTTTTTAAAGATTTATTTTTTATGTATACAATGTTCTGCTTGCATGTATGCCTGCACACCAGAAGAGGGCACCAGATCCCATTACAGATGGTTGTGAGCCTCCATGTGGGTGCTGGGAATTGAACTCAGAACCTCTGTACGAGCAGCCAGTGCTCTTAACCTCTGAACCATCTCTCCAGCCCTCTAGTGCCTTTATTTGGAGAAGAGAAAGTAATTGCTTATATTTTATTAAAAGATATGTTTTACTTTTTCTTCATGTTTAGCAATTGTAGAGAAAATTTGGGGGTACGAAGTATGAAAACCTTTAGAATTAGAAATCTGTAATGTTTAGTATTAAATAGAAGTAGTGAAAAAGACGGCACACAGTGATTTTGAACCAGTTAAAGTAGCTTTTAATTCTTAGACATTTTCAAATAACCTCTACTAAAGCAATATTTCTCGAGTATGCTTTGCAGTGGGAGACACCCACGGCACTGAGTAACATTTCCAAGCTATGTATGGCTCTGTCTTCTAACTCTCGCCTGTATGCACTGATAGGATAGGAACAGGGCAGAAAGCTGAGGCTGTACATGACCAAACTCTGTAATGTGACTTTCCTACCTCCCAGAAGAATCACGGATGTAGTAAATACATCACATTTAGCTGGGTGGTGGTAGTCCCAGCACTCAGGAGGCAAAGGCAGGTGGCTCTCTGTGAGGTTGAGGCCAGCCTGGTCTACAGAGTGAGTTCCAGGACAGCCAGGGCTTTGTAGAGAAACCCTGTCTCACATCTCATCTCCCACCCCCTAAAACATCACATTTAAAGGCAAGAGTTACCTTTTAATTCAAAGTTACTTCAAACTAAGTATTTTGACCAGTCATATTTAAATATTTTCACCTCTCATTATTAAAAACTGAAAAGGAGGAAAGTTTCTCTTTGAGGAGGTAAGATGTCCAGTCTTGGTCTCACTTATAAAACACATGAGAAAACTAGACATGATGGCTCATGCCTGTAACACCAAGAGGCTAAAGCAAGACAGTTTTGTGGAGTGCTGGTGGCCAACCTAGGCTATCCTGTATTATAAGACTCTGTCCCAAGAAACAAAAGAAAATTTAAAACTAAATCGCTCTAGAGATGTGATGATGTCCTATCAAAGCTCTCATTTCTGTGTATGACATTTTCTTTTTTTTTTCTTTCTTTTTTCTTTTTTGTCATTCTTTATATTCTTCTCCAGCAGCCTTTTAACCATTGAATTATTGGCCTCTTTAACAAATAATGCCTCCAACCTTCTCTGATGGATTTTCCATGTACCAGGAAGCCTGGCCACATGGGTTCCAGTTAGAGCTGGGGGTATTGTGGTAACTGCTTTGTTTGATGGTTTTTTTTTTCCACTTAGAGAGTTCTAATTTAGTAATAACCTTTGCTGAAAGAGTTATAAGATCTCAGAACAATAGTGTGTCAAAAATCTTTCAGAAGGTCTCTCTATGGGAGTTGAAACTTGAAAGTAACTACGCCTTCTGTTTTCTTTTAATAGATATTTGGGGCATATGCAACTCATCCCTTCAAGTTCAGTGACCACTATTACGGCACAGGCGAAACGTTTCTCTACACCTTTAGTCCTAATTTCAAGGTACCTGGATGGGTGAACTACTTGAATGGCCAGGGTTGTGTTGTCAGCAGTCAAGGAGGAAATGGGGAGGTGCTCAGACACTGGGAGAGGGGGTGTCCTGTAATCCCTCCTGCATTCCTTGCTCTCAGTCTCATTCTCCATGACTGGAGCATACCAACTGCTTGGAGACCAGAGTTAGGAGTTTCTCAGTCTGAGATGCAAGGAAACACTGAAGGTTGGAGCCAACACGTTATGGAATGGTCTTTGCTATTTCATAACCATTGATGATGGTTGTAACCATTCCATCACGTGCTTCTTTACTCAAAGGTGTGTTTCCTTTATACACAATGTGACTGTTAAAGGTGTCTTCTCTGCTAATTCTCCTAATTGAAATATTGGTGCTCTGTTTTGTGTTTTTGCCCGTAGGTCTTTAAGTGGAGTGGAGAGAACTCATATTTTATCAATGGAGACATAAGTTCTTTAGAACTCGGTGGTGGAGGGTAAGACTCTTGTCATTTGTTACTTGGGGATCCGCTTAGCCTAGCTAGTCTATTTGCTTAGACTAATTATGGCAGTATAATAGCACACGCCAGTGAGAATCAAAGATAAGTGATTTTTTTTTTTTTTTTTTGGTTTTTCGAGACAGGGTTTCTCTGTGTAGTCCTGGCTGTCCTGGAACTCACTCTGTAGACCAGGCTGGCCTCGAACTCAGAAATCCGCCTGTCTCTGCCTCCCGAGTGCTGGGATTAAAGATGTGCGCCACCACTGCCCGGCTGATAGATGATTTATAAATGTGCCTGAAAGACTGCGACCATTTGTCGTTTAGGAGAGACCTGTCTACACAGCTTGCTCTTATTTTGTGATTGGTTTAGAGTTCTGTCTGTCTTGGCCCAAAGGAAAGGAAACCTGTCGGGAAAAGGCAGAAAGCGTGTGGTGTAAACCGTGTCTGTGTAGTGACCTTTCTCCTTTAACCTCGTTACAGGGGACGGTTTGGTCTGTGGCTAGATGCTGATTTATATCATGGACGCAGCAACTCTTGCAGTACTTTTAATAATGATATCCTTTCGAAAAAAGAAGACTTCATAGTTCAGGACCTAGAGGTATGGACATTTGAGTGAAATTCAGGCTGCCTTAAGATAAAACATGGAAAAGACTGGATTAGATTAGCCCATCTTTCTGGAAGATAGGCCCCAGCCCTGGCTGCCTCATCCCCACAGCATTGCTTGCTTTCTGCTGTCATCTCAGAGCGTCCTAACAACGCAGACAGATTCTGGAAGATGTCTTTGGAGGGCAGACACTGAAGACAGAAATCTCAGTCCAGATTGTAAGACTTTGTACCTCCACTGCTTTCAAACTCACACCATGAGAAATCAGAGTGTTTATAGATGATGGGTTGAATGCGATTTTTATTTTTGGTAACTGTGAAAAAATAAGATACTGTGGAAATATATACCTGCCTTGTATATTTATCAGCATAACTTTACCAAATGTATACTTACTGTTTGCCATAGAAAGCTGTATCTGATTTAGAGAAATTGAAAGTATATAGCACTTAAAGGGAATATCTGATTTTTTAAAGAAAACTTTTATTTATTATTTTTAGTGTCTTGTCTAAAATACATTGATTTTTTTTTCTTTTAATGTGTCAAATCCTAAAATAAAGAAATGTATATATTTTGTGCTATGTTTGGGAAACAAGTCTCTTTTGATTTGTATAGTTTTATATTCATTTTTTTTGCCCTGATTATTTTAGGGTAATATATCTTTATTTATTAAGAGTGTGTGTGTGTATGTGTGTGTGTGTGTATGTTTTCAAAAGCTCATTAATAATGTTTTTTGATCTGACGATTGTAGACCAGCTTTTCATTTAGTTTTTAAGGTACTCTCAGAATACCCTAAGCATTTGTGTGGAGCAGAATATGGCATCTCTCACAGTTGTAAGTTGATGTTAATCAAAACACGGATCTTTATGAATATGAATGTACAAGTCCTACTTCTACAAAGAGAATGTTTGCTTCTTATGAAATTGTGTGAATTGTGTATTAATAACAGACACTTAGTTTCTTAGTTTTTTTTCTTTCTTTTTTTACTTTGCATTGTTTCTTTCCAGGTGTTTACATTAATGGTAGCCATCTGTTTTAAAAAGAAGTGTTTAATTTGTGCATTTTTAATGTCAGATAAAAGATATCAAGTTGGACCAACTTTCTTGGTTTCTGGAATCGTATTGGAAAAAGAACAATTCAAAGAATTACATTCATATCATAGTTTAAAAAAAGAAAATCTATTTTTTTAAATATAAACTCATTTTTGCTTCACAAGACATCTTTTATTTTAAATAGTAAGAAATAAAAGCATTAAGGTTATTGATTGCCTCCATTTTATGAAAGCCAAAGACTACTGATGGAAAAAAAAAAAAAGGAATAGCCAAAGCTGAAAAGTAGTCTATCACAAATTATTTCCCCAGTGATTTTTTTGAAAGGAAAATGAGCAAACCCTGTTTACATATCTGTTTATGTTCAGAATATTTTCAAGTCTTTCTTCCATTTTTAGATTCCTCGTAAGAAAACACTGTCCAGTGGCCTCCCGTCAGGCTGATGGTTACATTCACTGCCATTCCATGCTAATTTAAAGGAATGCTATAAAGTTTTAAATCTGTAGACCATATACACTTTTCACCCAAGTTCTCCCATTGAGGACTCTTGCTTTAAAATACACAATTTGACTTTGGTCTGCTCACACACATGAGTTGGCGAGATCCCAGGAATGACGTGTGGTGATTATGTTCACCGTTTATACCATTTGTAACCATATGCTGTTAATGAACAAGACGGTCACGTTGCCTCTAGATTACTCTTACCTAGTTTAGTCCATGATGCTCTACTCGTGAGAGCATATCCAGATGCTGTGTTCACTATTTAAACAGTATTGTCTGAACAGGAATGTGTGACCCTTCATTATGGATATCAACTACATGTAATGCAGTGCTATTCCAATATTTTCAATAAAGGAATTTGTGCATTCAGTGTGCATTTCTTTCCTAAAGACTCATTCATTGTCCATTTATAGGGTACAGAGACATGACAGGATCGGTTCCAGGGCACTACAACAGAACAATCACTCAGTCCTGTAAGAATTATGTTTAGACTATAGTGCTTATAGTTTATTGAGCATGCACTGGCATTATGATTAAAACAGGGTATTCCTTTAATTAAAAATACTTAATTTTGCAGCTGTAGAGATGACTCTATGGCTACCAGAGCTTCCTGCACTAGCTGACAACTGGCACCACTTCTTTTTTTTTTGGTTTTTCGAGACAGGGTTTCTCTGTGTAGCTCTGGCTGTCCTGGAACTCACTCTGTAGACCAGGCTGGCCTCGAACTCAGAAATCTGCCTACCTCTGCCACCCAAGTGCTGGGAGGCATGCGCCACCACCACCTGGCTCTGGCACCACCTCTTAGCATGCATGTTTAGTCGTTCGTAACTGCCTATAACTCCAGTTTCAGGGAGATTGTGTTCCCGCACAGGCAACTGCACTCGTCTGTATGTACATACACACATACACTTACAGCCTCAGCCTCACACACATGCACTTAAGAAAATAATAGAAATCATTTTCAAAAAATATTTCATTGTTAGAATTCTCCATGAGTATCTGGACTATTGGGAAAATGGTGTCTACAGACCCATTTGGCACAGGTTTGCCATGAATCTTCTATTTGTAAAGATTTGCAGTGTCTCCAAGGTACCTTGGAGGCATGCCTGTCTGGTGGTTTGTAGTGGGAACAGGGAAAATAACCAATAATAAACTGGACTCAGTGCACACTTCCCAGGAAATTACCACTTCATTTCCAGTAGCTTTCCCCTAGTTCTCTCAACAGTTCATGGAAACTACTCCTTTTATATAATTACCGGAGACCACCCTTGGCTTTATAATAATAGATTTAATAATATTAATAATCTAATGTCTCATGTAGACACCCTTCATTTTTTTATAGCTTATCTACTCTACTCACTAATTTCATTAAGGATATTTTACATACTAGTAACCTTCTGCTATGTAGCCCCACAGAAGAAGAGTCCATGCAGCCTTTGTTTTCTCTCAGTTCATAGGTATATTTGCAAAATCTTAGGTGAGGGCTGGGTGTGCTGGCACACACCTTTAGGCAGAAGCAGGCCAGCCTAGTCTACATAGAGAGTTTCACACTAGCAAGGGCTATATAGTGAGACTGTCTTTTAAGCTGTCCTAGGGTTTTGTTGCTGTGAAGAGACACCATGACCATGGCAACTCTTTGAAAGGCATTTAATTGGAGCTGGCTTACAATTCAAGGTTCAGTCCATGGTCAGCGTGGCAGGAAGCATGGTGGTGGGCAGGGAGTTATGGTGCTGGAGAATGGCTGAGAAGTCTACATCTGGAGCCTCAGGTAGTAGGAAGGAAGCCACTGGGCCTGGCTTGAGCTTCTGAAACCTCAAAGCCCACTCTGTATGACACGCTTCCTCCAACAAGACCACACTCACTCCAATAAGGCTACACCTCCAAATAGTGCCACTCCTTATGGGGCTATGAGGACCATTTTATTCATACCATTACATAAACAAGCAAATGATAACAGCAAAAAACTGGTTGGAAGAAAGTCAAGGGTACTTATAGAAAGTTCAAAATAAGATAACCACACCTTTTGTATGACTCAAAAGTGACCATGACCATCTCCTGCCAATCAGAACTCTTTTGATTATTGGGGAACTCTTACCCTCAGGGTAACTCATTATCTTACTCCCTCGTCTGTGGCCTTGAGACACAAAGACCCCCTAACAGTTTCTTTGCCTAGAAAATTAACCTTCACAATCCACACCGAACTCTAAGGTCATATTGTCTTACCTTTCATTCTAAGCTGTCTGGTGACTGAGAATAAAGCAGACAGGCCCTTCCTGCTTTGGCTAAAGGAAACTTCAGAGTAGTGTTTATTGATGGGCTCTTCCATGTTTTATATCAGCACTGTCCAACGGAGCCGCCTACAATGATGGGCGTGTACCACAATTTTCACTACTATATTCATTTACTCACTTGTGTATATTCATACATTGTGATGGATTTCCTTATGACATTTTACAAATACAAGCCAGGTACTTTGCTCACATGTACCTTCCACTGGGTAGAAGGGCCTCTGTCTCCCAGTGGTCTCCTTACATTTCCTAAATAGCACTCCTCCTAATTTCACATCATGTAGTGTGTGTGTGTCTAGATTACACATATGAGAACAAAACATGGCAATATTTTTCTTGCTTATTTTGCTTAACACAATGCTACACACCACACTTTCATCTTTTCCTGAAAGAGAACAGTTCCTCTTTATGACTGAATAGTGTGGTACATTCATCAGGGTAGAAAGGATACTGAAACAGAGAATGTAAGAACAGTATGAAGAATCAGTATAACAAGGAGTTGATTCTTTGAAAAGATAAACAGGATTAACAAACCTTTAGTGAACTTTAACCAAAAGAAAAAGAGAAGAACCATATTAAGATGTAAAAAAAAAAAAAAAGGATGTCACAATAGTTGCTATAGTAGTTTGAATAGGTTTGGCCACCATGGACTCAGATGTTTGAATGCTTGGCCAACAGGGAGTGGCACTACTAGGAGATTTGTCCTTACTGGAATAGGTGTGGCCTTGTTGGAGGAAGTGTGTTACTGTGGGGGTAGGCTTTGATGGTCTTCTCCTGACTGCCTTCCCATCAAGATGTTGAAGACTCAGCTCCTCCAGCCCTATGTCTGCCTGGATTCTCCCATGCTTCTGCCTTAATGATAATGGACTGAAGCTCTAAACCTGTAAGCCAGTCCCGATTAAATGTTCTTTTTAAGAGTTGCCTTGGTCGTGGTGTCTCTTCTGCTTACATATGGCTACTGAATGTTTAATTACAATTTTATAAATTATGGACGTAAGTCCTTCCATCATTCAAGGCCCATTGTAAGTGTTTCAGTAAAATATTTGGTTCTTATAAAGAATAAATATTAGGTGAAAATTCCATCTTCACAGCACTGGAAACCCTAACAAAGATAGTTACTAAGGAAATCCAGAGGATCATTAGAGAATATTTTTGAAAACTTGAGTTCCATGAAATCTGAGATCTAGAAATCGTAGTGAATTAGACAAGGTGACTTATCAAAAATCAAGATAAGCGAACCTACAATGAGCGACACCATTGAAGCAATACTAAGTCTCACAACAGATATAGCCCATGACTAGACAGATTCTCATGTAAATTCTACCTAATATTTATTCTCTATAAGAACCAAATATTTTATTGAAACACTTACAATGGGTCTTGAATGGTGGAAGGACTAGCTTTCATAATTTATAGTATTATAATTAAAGTTGAGTAGCCACATGTGAGCAGTGGCTACCATAGTGGACTGCCCAGCGCTAGACCAAGATGTTAGCGGTAAGACTTACTGAAAGTTGAATCTCTCATCGAGCACAAACTTTAGTTCCTCATACTCTGATGTATTTCTGTCATTATGGATCCTTGTAGTTTGGTGCCACTCAAGGTGTTAGTGTGTCTCCTACTACCTATTTAGTTCATTAAAACAAAGCAAAGCAAAACAAGAGAATCATGTTCCTTGGGAGTCTTTATATAAAAAAAAAAGTGACTCTTTATAAAACTATTGACCCCTATCTCAAATCAAAGGTAATTAAAGCCTCCTCTAGTGCCCTGACCTATACCCTTTCCTTGTGTAATCTACACAAGTTTTGGCCCTACCCCAGATATGTCACTGCTCATAGCAGCTCTGTCGGGATGTCATATTGTTGACCAGGCAACCATCCTCACCTGATGGAGCATGGGAGGGAAACAGTCACTTCTTACATAAATTAAATGTCCAGTTTGAGAACTGGCAAGAATAATGACAACCCAAGAATGTCTTATGTAGTGCTGTTCAATGGACAGTCATCCTTAAAAGTTAACCAGTCTTCATGCCTTCCCCCCAATCACATGTATAGTTAATGTTAACAGTTACATGAATTGGAAGTAGATGGTGTTTAACTCAGAGACCCACAGCTGGCCCAGGTACAGAAATTTAAAGACTGTAGAATGTTCAGCTCTAAATGAATATATATATATATATATATAT